AATTATTCTCTAAGACCCTACTCATAGACAATACTCTCTTTGTATAGACTCTTATTCCTATCACCGAAAAGGGTAGGCGGAGATAACGGATTTCCATTTGGCACGATCCTAACAAACTTCTCTCGCTTCTACCACATCCACTCAAAATGTTTAAATAATCATCATCATCATCATTACAGCCCTTCACAAGCTCACTGCTGAACATAGGACTCCCCCGAATAATGCCACAAAACACGGTCCTGAGCCACCTGCATCTATCAACTTCTTGCATGTCTTACCAGGTCGTCACTCCATCTAGTGGGAGGTCGCCCTACACTGCGCCTACCGGTACGAGGCTGCCACTCGAGAACCTTTCTTCCCCATCGGTTATCGGTTCTTCGAGATATATGGCCGGCCCATTGCCACTTCAGCTTACTAATCCGTTGGGCTATGTCGGTCACTCTGGTTTCACTGCGGATATCCTCATTTCTGAGTCTATCACGCAGTGAAACTCCGAGCATAGCCCTCTCCATAGCTCGCTGAGCGACCTTGAGCGTCCTCATACGGCCAGCGGTGAAGGACCACGTCTCAGATCCGTAAGTCATCACGGGCAACACGCACTGGTTGTACATTTTAGTTTTCAGAGATTGAGGTATATCTGATGAGAAGATGTGTTGTAATTTCCCGAACGCTGCCCAGCCGAGTTGAATCCGTCGATTGACCTCTCAGTCAAATGATTTCTTATATTACGGTGAAGAGTTTCGGGGATATAACATCACCCTGTCCCATCCCATCCCATCGTAGCCCTACTGTACAAACACTTCAGCACTTCAATATACCGACAGTCAACTAGGCACCGCTGAAGGGACTGTAGCACCGCCCAAATTTCCACGGAATCAAAGGCTTTCTCATAGTCCACATACGCTAGGCAAAGTGGCAGATTGTACTCTTCGGACTTCTGTACAATTTGCCAAAGGGTATGTATGTGGTCTATGGTACTGAAGCCTTTTTGGAAACCGGCTTGTTCGGGAGGCTGGAAATCGTAGAGTCTGCGTGCGAGACGATTCGTAATGACTCTCGACAACAGCACGTAGACGCGGCTCAGAAGGGAAATCGGTCTGTAGTTCTTCAAGAGAGCGTTGTCGCTTTTCTTAAAGAACAAGACCACCGCGCTTCTGCTCCACGCCTCCGGAGTAATGCCAACATGGAGGATGGAATTGAAGAGCTTCTGAAGGACTTCAAGTACCGGTGTTCCACCCTCTTTCAGAAGCTCCGCTGTAATTCCATCCTCGCCCGGGGCCTTGCCGTTTTTAAGGTGGTGGAGAGCCATTCTAATCTCGCTCAGACTGACGTCCGGGATATCACCGGAATAGTGTCGGATAAGACTTGCTCTTGGATCGTTACTCACACTTGCGTGTGGCTCCAACGATGATGTGTACAGCTGCCCATAGAACCTCTCAATCTCACTCAGAATCTCAGGTGTCCCGGAAACGATGTTGCCACACTCAGTGTTCAGCCTTGACAGTTGGCACCTTCTGGCAGACAGATTTCTGGCAAAGACTTTGGAGCCCTGGTTCCGCTCGATCGCTTCTTTAATACGAGCAGTATTAAAGTTGCGTAAGTCTCGCCGCATGCATTTGGAGATCTGTCTGTTCAGCTGCCTGTATGCTGTCAAATCTGTTGACGATTGCAGCCTCATCTCCCGTCTAACAGCCATGAGATTAAGAGTGTGATCGGAGAGTTTTTGTGTTCTTCTGCGGCGGGTCTTGCAGAACTTAGCTCCGACCGCATGGACAGTTTCCACGAGCTTGTCATTCATATCGTCCACTGCATTGCAATCCTCTAGGCACTGAAAGCGGTTTTGTAACTCGAGCTGAAAGGTTTCGGGATTCTGGATTAGAGCAAGAGGGGGACGGAGCGTTGACTTCATTAGACGAGACCTCTCCAACTTAACGTTTAGGTTCAGTGTGCCTCTAACCATTCGGTAATCGCTGCCAGTTTTCACCCTTGCAATCACTGAGACATTACTGAACAGTTGCCGTCTGGTCGTCATAATGAAGTCAATCTCATTTCTTGTCGAACCGTCGGGGCTCGACCAGGTCCACTTCCTGTGAGGCCGCTTCTGGAAAAAAGAGTTCATCATAAAGAGTCCCTCTTTCTCCATAAAGTCGGCCAGCTGCTGGCCCCTTCGGTTCCGTTGCCCTACTCCAAATTTCCCCACCTTCAGCTCACCGCTTTCTCTTGAGCCCAGTTTTGCGTTGAAGTCTCCCATCAACACTGTGTAGTGGGTTTTGGAGGAATGCATGGCTCTGGGAATATCCTCATACATTTCCTCCACCTCCTCATCGGGATGTGCCGAGGTTGGTGCGTAAACCTGTATGACCTTCAGCGAATATCGTTTGGTGATTCTGAGTATCAGGTAAAAGACCCTCGTCGACACACTCCCAATCTTTACAACGTTGTTGACGAGAGACTTGTGGACGATAAATCCGACACCTCCTTGGGACAGATGGTCTCCCTCCCGATGGTAGAACAAGTTGCCGGACTCGAGGATTGCCGTATCCTCCCCCTCTCTTCGGACCCCGGATAATCCAATAATATGCCAGCGCAACTTGTCTACCTCTTCTTCCAGCTCCAGTATCTTCTCGTCAGTCCTCAGGGTGCGTGCGTTATATGTTGCCAGGTCGAGTCGTCGTAGGTGGCAACCGAACCTCCACCGGAGATTGTTAGCACCCCCTGCCCCGCCGTTACCATGGTCGCCACCGGATCCAGGAATAGCGGGGCCGCCGGGGACTGGGGGCCGTTTTTTTGCGTCATTATTCATGGCGGGATATTTGCCATAGTTGCCACGCTTGGCGAGCGGGTTGGCAACCGTAGTTTTTTTATTATAACACAGTTGTTATCAGTAAGATGCTGCTGCCTATCTCCTGCCTGTCTCCCTCTGTCGCCTCTTACGACACCCACGGGAAGATATGGGGTAGTGGATATTCTCAACCGCCACTACACGGCAAGTATAAATAATATCTAGACTATTAAATAATATCTATATTATTTAAGAATTATGATTCTAGATTCAGAGCGTACCTTACCGCCTATGCAACTCACTTCTCCAGCAGGAATTTACTATGTCAATCTTTCCTCGTTCATTTTTTTTTACATATGTAAACTACCGAAATATACCTTTCTTATGGCCGGTTTCTGAGGTACTTTTATCGGTAGTTCATCTATTCGTTAGCGCTATTGATTCGATAACTTATGAAAATGCGTTTCCGAACATCGCAATGGAAGATAAACAAAAAGAAAGAAACAAAAAAGAAAAAAAATAACTTAAATGCCCGCTGGCAGGGATCAACACATGACAGTACAGTTTTTAATAACTCATTCCTCCGAGCACGCCTGAATAACAACGAGATAGATCCACCTCCTTGGAGATAGTGCATATCCTTGAGGACGCTACATGATGACACCATTTTTAAACCCAGCTACAAATGCAGAAAAACTCTACAATGAAACACATATCAAGACCAGAAATACATTTAAAAGGACATTTGGTGTGTGGAAAAGAAGATTTCCATGCCTTTCTTAAAAATTAAGCTTAAAATTGGATCATACGTTAGCTGTGATTGTTGCAACAGCTGTGTTACACAATATAGCTCTACAGCAAAATGATATTCTGGCGATTGATTCCGCTTCGGAAGAAGATATTACAGAATCAATTGAACAACCTCTTCCCTGTGAAGGAAACCATTTTCATCGTTTATTGGTGGAACAATGTTTTAGGTTGGTAAAATTTTTCTTTTGTTAATATCTCTAAAGCTCAATTTACACAATGTTGAATGTAATAAAGCAACAGAAAACGCAAAAGAGCATATGGTCCACCTGATGGTAAGTGGATGCAGGGGCCCCTAGACATCTACATCTATCCTCTATTAGGAATCAAAATGCAGATGTATTGTCACCGTTGAGGAGTAAGATGGAATGCCTAAAGGGTGGAATGCCTAAAGGGTGGAATGCCTTAAAGGGTCTCCGCTTGTGTACGCGCACCAAACGAAACAGCAGCATATTTAGCTGTTAATTCAAACTAGTATTCGGTGAGGGCATGATCTTTCCCCAGTTGAACTGACCTATTCGTGCTACAATTATAATATATCTGCAGCATTGCTACCATTTATCAAAAATGTATTATGTTAATAAAAACAAATTTGTGTATGTATATTTTATTTGTATTTCTAGTAAAATATAGTGAATATAATACATAAACAAAAATTTTAATAAATAAAAACTATAACAAAATACTAATATAAAACCAAATGAATTTATCATACTTTTGCCATGTAAAAATATAGATAATAGAATTTATAAACAAGAGTTTTAATTAATAAAAACTAAAACATTACAAATATTGAAGATTCAACATCAATATGAAATTATCCAATAACAAAAACAAAAAATTTACTGTAATTTGATACAGAGTTAAAGGAAATCTTTTACAAAAAATTTGTAAAAATGGACTTTAAAAGAATTTTAATTTATTTTACTTTGGCCATGTAAAAATATAGAGAATAGAATTTATAAACAGGAGTTTTAATTAATAAACACTAAAACATTACAAATATGGAAGATTCGACACCAATATGAAATCATCAAATAAAAAAATATAAAAAAAATTACTGGATTTTGATATAGAGCCAGTGAAAATTTTTTACAAACAGTGCAAAAATGGACTTAGGATTTTAAAAAAAAATTAATTTATTATACGTTGGCCATTATAAATTAAAATTCTTCTTTTTTTAAATTCTAAGTCCATTTTTGAATTTTATAAAAGATTCTTTTTTAATTCTAAGTCCGTTTTTGAATTTTCTAAAAGATTCCGCTTTAACTCAATATCAAGATCCAGTAAAAGTTTGTTTTTTTCTAATTTCATATGTTCATTTTGAAGTTAAACCTCCAATATTTCCATTGTTATGGTATTTTCATTCATTTGCTTCTGGTTTTTTCTTTTTATTATTGAAGCACTGATGCTATTTATATTTTTCTTTTTTTGTTTCATTTAAACAAATCTTTTTTTTCAGTGTGATGTCAGATACCAGAAGAGGCGAAATCCTTCTTTTGGAACCTTTTAATTGTTGAAGTTGATGCACAGAATCTTCTTTTGCACCCAATACTTCTTGAGATGAATCGTGCGTATCGTTTTGCTGTTGTGTTTCAACAATATCTGTAATGAATAAATTGCAAAAATCAGTCACTATTGTGTTATGTGTAATTTTAGTGTAATTTTATTATTTTAAAAAAATAGTCCCGCTGGGTTTCTTGCCAATTCATCCCAGGAGAGAGGTTTTTTTTTTGCGAACCAGTGGTAAATGAAAAAAGTGTATTTTAATAAGTATTATTTATAATCTGTATTGAATAAAAAAGTTTCTATTTCTATTTCTGTAGCTGATGATTATACAGATAAATCTATGTTCAGAAATTGGTGCATGGGTACTTAAACCACATTAAATAAATGATTATTTAATTATATTTTGTTTCATTATCTTTTAAGTTTGATTAGATTTAAACTAATTTTTCCCTGTAAATTTACATCGATAATTTTAGTTGCTCAGGTTATGTATAGCCCCATGCTGAAATAGTGGATATAAGAAGAATTTAACCAAAACATCAGGTAAAAGCATGCTCAATAAATGCCAAATTCTGATGTAATATGATGTTAGAAAAACACTAAACTTACATACCTATGGTGTAATATGGTGCTGATGAGTCAAAATAATTAGATAATGGTTTAAATTGTGGAGATAATAAAGCCACAACCTTTTCATCGACTGAAGTTGTCTTAGGGCAAAATGTTCCATCTCCTGTCTTGTACAGCTCGGACTGAAATTAAAATTTAAAGTTCTACATTACATAATTGTTGCATACTATTGCGTAACTTTATATGAGAATAAATTATTGTAAATACTCCAAGGCAATAACTGTGCCGATGAAATAGGCCGTAGAATATAATGATGTATATTATTAGTACACTACAAAGTAATACTACAGCTTGTACAGTAAAGTTCCTTCGCACTTTGTATAATAAAAAAGTTTATTAGTTCAAACAAAAATAAGTAGGATATGACCTACCTTATCACCGCTTATATTTTTTCTAGCTTTTTTTTAAATTTTCATATAACGCATGCAATTGTTTTTCTGTTCTGATTCCCGTTTCAGAAAGAGCATTATATTTATTGGTCCACGCCATCCAAGCTTGCTTCTTGGCCTCAACAGTAGTCCCATCCGTCTTTTTGTTGTCAATTGTAGCCTACAGTATGATGTTTTCTTTTTAAACAATTTGACAGTACAATGATGTCGTCCATAGAGTCTCTGATAAATATTGAATTATCTTAATTTATTCCTAAAACAATGCAATTCACTTACTTAGCCTCAAAAAATAATATTTTATGAATAATACTAGTATAAATGAAGAATTGAAATATAAAAAAAACAATTTTAGTCTCGATGTCTTCGACGAGTCGAAACAGAGCCCTCTAGTGGTAAATTATGGAACTTGTTATTGGTTTCATAGTTGTTGAACGGTTGGTTTCGTATTCAGAAACGCAATGACAGTTAACCGACAGATATCTTATAGATAACTTTATTGAATCAACAGCTAATGGGAATATAACTGGGAACTTCAGAAACCGGGCATTAGTCATCTAATTGCATTTGAACCAAACGGTTTGCTACGTCGTTCATCATGCGTACAGCAAAGAGTAGAATAAGTTGCTAGTATCTGTCTTTCCATCCTATTACAGTGTGTTTTGTTCTTGTTAAGTCAGTGCGCTTCACCATCTTAGGCTACATTACCACTTACCATCGGGTGGGATTGTAGCTAAGCGCTGACTTATTACACTTTATTATTATTATTATTGACAGAATAATTAAGTAAAAAAAAATTACACATACAAAAATTTTAATTTACCAATGAATTATTTGTGGATGCTGCAGCCCATTTATTGTCCGGCGATATTTCTAAATTCTGCATGATTCCCTCCAGTTGCGGACATAGATCCCTCGCCAGGTCTGACGTTGACAAGTCCCAGGAGATAACACGGCTTGAGATAGACACAACATAACGTTTGTCTGAGCTTAAACGGAAAGCGAATACGGCAAACTGATGGCCTTCCAAGGAGTACTGCAAAAGTAAGTATAGTAATAGAACTTAAGCATATTGAAACTTCCTTTCTTTCTTTTTTTTTAGCAGTAAGGGCAAACTAGCAAACGGCATCCTGCTAGGATGATACTTTTCCGCCCATGGGCAACTGTAACACCAGATGAATTATTAAAAAGGAGTAAGCTCTTATCATGAAAGTTACTTTGTAGATTCCACAAAAAAACCGCACTAGGAAAACATCTGGTAAATTACACATTGGTGGACTGACAAGCATTTGTTGTGGATGAAATACGCGAATTTGTCGCTATGTGCGATGGCGGAATTTCGTGGCTCAAATAAATTAGAATAATTCTTGAGATATGTGTTAATACTTTTTACAAATATAAGTGAGATGTGACGATGTTGTGGCCATGTAAGAAAATCAACTCATATCGCCCGTCAGTGTCGTAAATGGTTATAGAGGAGAACAAACCAGGAGATGAGCAGCAGTATCACACATAATGGTATGACAAAATTGATTAATGGATTCCTTACGTAGTTATTACACTACTTTATTAAGCTCATAATTAAGATATACATTTAGCTATTCTGCAATTAGATATTGCATTTAGATATTCTGGTTAAGTAATTGTTTTAAACATAAGCTAAGGTCTATGGTCTCTCAAACGTTTTGTTATATTATAGGATGACAAACGAGCACACAGTCCACCTGATTATAAGTGGTTGCTATGGCCCATAGACGCCTACATGTATCCTCTATTACGAATCAAAATACGTGTAAAATAACTAAGCCTTTAAATCAATGCAATTAAATGATACGACCATTTATGTCACAAATATTGATACTTGCACAAAAACTACTTTACGGTGACTTAGAATCATGATCATCAGATGTCAGGCGTAAATAAATAAAGGAAAATACCTGAAAATCGTTAATTTGGAGTTATATCACATAGAAATTATATTTTGCGATTACAAACTTACATTTGCAGTTGAAATATAGAGTATCATGCAGGTCCATGTAAGGGAGAACGTTTTTTTCTCTGCAAAGTTAATTCTGTCCCTCAATTGCCCCGACTTAAGGAAAAGCGTTAGAAAAATGTTTGATGCTTACCTTAGCTAAAATAATTTCTGTAAGCTAATTAGATTGGCGGAAGTAAATAAACTGCTTACACTGTTATACCTATAGTTATTATATAAAT